TAAGAACAGAGCGAATGATCACAGGTTCACAGATTGAAACTGTGCCTTCCCAGGTCAGAGCCCGCACAGGCCCATGTGGGGGCTCCCGGTCCGCCCAGCAGGGGCTCCAGGCCCGCACCTCCTCGGGCTGGTGAAGGCCCCTACCCTGAGGGTCAGCTGCATTCCTGCCCAGCTGGTGCACTGGGGCCCGTGGTCTGGAGCCTCCCGCCCTTCCTCCCGCTTCCCTTGGGCGGCCCTGACCCTCAGCTCCGTGACGCCAGGGGTCCGGGAGGGGAAAGGGTGTTGCTGAGCATCGGACATCAGCTGAGACCCGGCGAGGGCGCTTCCCAGGGTTGGTCCGTGCATCCTGGGTACTTTCCGTGCCCGACTGGCCTCCTGTGAGTCCCTGGATGGGACGTGTTCTCCTGTCAGCCCCCATCCCTTCCACTCCGGCTTCTCTCCTCCTCAGGCGGTGAAGGAAGAGGCAAGTCTGCCCCACACACGGCCTCCCCTGCCAGCGGGGCCTTCGCGCCCTCTTCCCCTCGCTCCTCTGCTTGTGCCGAATCCCACTCTAAAGTGAGGCGGTTGAGTTGGCTTCCAGCAGCCCATCCCTGGGAAAAGGGAAAACACCACCCGAGCCTCTCACATCTGAAGCTCTGCCCTGTGACCAGCTCCCGGGTCTTGGGAGTGAGCGTGTTTATGGTGGGATCTGGCCCCGGGAGGCCAGGGAGGGTGGGCCTGTCTGGAGCCGCCTGGCAGTCAGGAGGCAGGAGGCAGCCCCAGTGCTGGCCAGGCCCAGCCGAGCCGGACACCTGGGAACTTTCTAGAATGACAAGCTCTGGTGCCACGCACACATACAGGGTAACTTGTTCCGCAGCAACAAGTAGAACAGACACTAAAGGGGATCTTGGTCTGTGTGTCTCCCACGCGGAGTCTCTACCTCGTCCCAGCCGCCGCCTCGGGCCTCTCAGGCCAGTGGTTCCTCGTTTGAAAATGAGTCTGAGAACGTCTCCAACGTCAGCGAGGTCCTCGCACAGCCATTCACCCTGGTCCCCACCACGCGACCAGAGGGAGACCCGTCCCAATCTGCCGGACGTCGTCTGACATCGCCAGGGAAGTCGGACC